CTTCCAGCGTAAGTTGGTCTACATCTCCCTCCTCATCTCTACTAGTTATCTAAAGGTTCAACACACTAGAAATGATCTCTGTTTTACTTTATTGGTATTGGGGACACTGGTTTGCAAATATATATTAGTTTGGGGACTTTTTAAAAAATAATATCTCATGCACATAGTCCTGGCTAACCTTAACTTGCTATGATGAGTAGCCTAGGATGCCCGTGCACTCCTGTCTTACCCTTCCACACGTACAGCCATGCACTATCAGAAACAGCTTATATTATACTGGGATTGAACTAGGGTCTTTCTGCTTGTTAGTCAAGTGTTCTATCAATGGAGATGCATCCCATCCCTGTAACACATTTATTTCTACTTTCATAGGAAATAGATAGGCTCAATAAAAGTTAAAGGGAATAATTACTTCAAAACAATGTAAGGAAGAAAAATACAGGATTCTTAGCAGATGGGACCCAAGTTTTACAAGAGGCTCATGATGAAATATGGCCTCCGGGTTTAACAGTAAGGCTGTTCCTAACACTTTCATCTAAAATTGTTGCTAGGCCCAACCATAGAATCATCTGGATTAAACAAATTGCACCATGTATCCCTAGAAAGATACCAGAAGAACAAGTTCAGTGGCCTCTGTGTGACACTGAAGTGGCTGGTGGCACCCCCACTGATTTTGTAGGGGTCAAAGCCAGGAAAGGGTGCTTATCTGTGGGTCTGGTGTTCACAAGTAGTGACTGGTAGGCGAGTTGTTTCATATCACACTTCTTTGCTTCCTCAAGTGTAAAATGAAGAAATCAACAACATTCTGTTAATGGGCATGTGACAAAGCACAAAAAAAGAGTCTATATATCCAGCACTTGCAATGGCAGCCTTGACATGGTTACACCCACTAGGAATGTGTGCCATTGCCTCGTCCTAACTGCATATATTTTCTGTCAGCATAACTACTGGTTTCAGGAGGCTGACATTTCAGGGTTAAGACTTTGTATCTCTCTGTAGATTTCTTCCCTTCTCCATCACTGAGACTTGAAAGTCTGGCACAGTTCTAGCTTCAGAGCAGCTGATAACATTGTGGAAGAAGCCATTCAATAGTGATGGGTGACAGAGGAAGAACCAGTACCATGACTCACCATCCCCACACATCAACAGAAAGAAAACCTGCAATCATTCTGTCTCTGAAATCTACTTCAGAGAGTTTCTTTTTAAGAAATGATATAATTTCACCAATATCAGCAAGAGGCAATGGTTAACTAGAGAGTAAACTTCTGCATGCCGCGTGCAGTATGACTCACACAGACTGCAAAGAACAGATGCATCATCATGTGATTTTAAAGTATGAGGCATATTTCCTAAAACATGATGATAATAAATAGATGATGCAGGTATGTTGTAGAGTTAGTCATTACATTTCAGCTGCCAACTAAAGGCAAAGATGATAACAGAGGTCATTTGAAGCTATGTGCATCTGGTTTATGATATCTTCATAAAGAACAGCCAGCTCTCTGTGGATTCAAAACCACATGAGGTCCGTGTCAGAAGAAGATACATGTTTAAAATCTGTGGGCCGCTAATACATGCTCTGAATAGCGCCATGCCTTAGAGCCAGCAACCTGAGATGAGTTCCACTACAGAGCCACACAGCTTTGTCGGCGTATCAGATGAAGTCTGTGGACACAGGATGGTCATGGTATGTACATGTGAATGGTATGTGCATGTAGAAGAAGAAGTTATTACATGATTTTAACTCTGCACCCACTAACTGAGAACCCGGCTGCTGTGTGTAGCTCGTTAGTTTATGTATGGGTAAGAGTCTGAGAGGCCTCCCTCAGGAGTGTGTGCATTAAACACAGATCATGTTATTCACTTATTCAAACAAGAGGATGATGGGGCCAGTCATCTGTGTATGTCTGTCTTAGTGATAAATAAAACACTGTTGGCTAATAGGAAAGCAAGATAGGTGGGGCTAGGAGTCGAGGAGGATTCTGGGAAATGTATTGATCACCAGCAAGAGAGGACACATAGGACCGGTGTCCTTGGTAAGATAAGTCCTTATGAAATGCATAGATTAGTAGTTATGTTTGGTAAAGACTGAGCTAGCATATGAGAAATCTGAGTCACTGGCCAGCAGCACTGTAAATAATATGTCTCTCTGTGTTATTTAGGGGCCGTAAAGTGGCCGGCAGAACTCAGGTGGTTGGCGTAAAGAGTTATTGTTACAAAATGGTGTCCCACGTGGTTTTATGAACTTTCACATAAAACTTCACAAAAGCTTAAAAGGGGATTTTAGGAGCAAAGGAACAGAGATGAGCACCACTTCTTGGTAGCAGCATTTTCTCGGGTGGTCCCTGTTTTGCTAGAGACAAGCAGAGACTCGAGCAGCTCCCTTAAGGGAGGTTTCCTGACTCAGCATAAGTGGAAAAAACTGCAGGGCAGTTTTAAAAGGCCCTGCTAACAATTGAATGATGTGTACAAGCAGCTGGCAATCCCATTGACCACCAAGCCGGCAGCATGCTGCTTGATTGCAGCATAGACCAAGGCAGTGAGAACAGCTGTCAGTCCTGGCAGTAAATATACCCATGCCATCTTGGAAAGACAGAGGCTAAAACAGCCATCACTTTAATATTACAAACTTGTTTAGCAGCTAAAAGATTCATGGCCAGAAAAAAGAGAGATATACACCAAAGACAGATTCAGATGAAGAAAAACCTCTAAAGTTTTACACTGTTTAAAAATATATGTAGGCTTGTGAGAGAAAAGAAACAGGACAAAGTAGAAGGAAGGAAGAAAGGATGAAAGAAAGAAAGAAAGAAAGAAAGAAAGAAAGAAAGAAAGAAAGAAAGAAAGAAAGAAGGCAGTGGTGGCACACGCCTTTAATCCCAGCGCTTGGGTGGCAGAGACAAGCAGATCTCTATGATTTCAAGTCCAGCCTGGTGTACAGAGTGAAATCAAGGGCAGCTAAAATCACACAGAGAAACCGTGTCTCATTAAAGAAAAACATAAAAGCAAAAAAAAAAAATGAGTAATAAAAAAGCCACATAAAGATGGAAAGTACACAGAGAGTCTGGGTACTGTATGTTATTTTGTTGTTTTGAATTATTTAATTGCTGGGGAAGGAACAATGGCTGCTAAATGACATTTGATTATAAGTGCTGCTGAATTAATCCAACTTACATATTTTAAAAATGCTTTGGTTTCTAAATTTAAATATAAGGAAAGGGTACTTAGGAAAAGTTTTTGCTTATGTTTCCACAGAAAATGTAAAGTTATGGATTCCTTCAAGACTAATATGATTTGATGAAGCAAGACCCCCTGAAACAGTGTCCCAAGTGATCCAAATCTAAAACACCTGAGACTATACAGCCTTACAGACTACAAATGCAAGGACCTGCCAGGTTTCTGTGTTTTATCATGATCCCCATGGTATGGACATTTCCCCCAATCAGCAGGAAGCATTTGGAATGAACGATGCCCAAATTCCCAAATATTGTTTATAAATATTTGTTTTCATTTAAATTGTGTTGGTTATAAATGGTAATGATCACAGTCAATCTCTTTTTAAAGTAAAAAGGGGAAATATGAAATAGAAATGAATACTTTGCATTGGTATGTATTTTCATTTATTGATGCCAACTTTTAGGTCAATTTTGTTATATGTAAATTTCTCTTCTTTAGGTTTTGTGTTTATACTGATCTTTTATAATGTAATGCATAATTAAATACAGATTGAATATAGTCAGGTATAATAGTCAAAACTTAACAGTTAGGTTAGTTAGGTTTTGTAGATATAAAGAGATGCATTTGAGATGATAGATATGCTTCAAACCTTTCAAAGACCTACAGAATATATGACATTTAAATGGTTTAAGATTTTTCATCGCAGTGAGACACAACTGCACCTGGCATACCAATTATGTCAGAAAGGAGGATGGGCATCGAAGAAACTCATTATGGAGTTTTCATTCAACATGGCAACATTCAATTTGGGCAAGAAACTGCTCTTGCCTCTAGTGTTTGTTGCTGATAAGCTGGACATGCAGGACCCACAAGAAAGTGACTGCTGAACTTGTGAAACAAGACAGTCCTGATGGGTTCCTGCTTCGTGAAAAAGTCTGCCAGACACACTGTGGCCTATAGGCTGACGATGGATGCCCCAACATTACAGAGGAACTTTGGGTGACTTACAGGTAGGGAGATGTCTCTGTCAGATCTAGAGTTTATATAGTATCCTTCTGTGGTCTTTAACAGAGTTGAAGACAGATAGTTATGGTCATAGTTTTCGTTGGTTATTATAAAAGATAAGCTATATATAAGACTTTAGAATCACAAAGATAAGATAGATAATAGAATGTTTTCTTTAACTCTTGCTAAAAGTTAATGAAATAAATATTGTAAATAGTTCTTACCTGATAACTGTTTTGTTATGTATTTTACTATGTTAATGGTAAAACCCTTCTTTTTATTTAGACATAAAAGAGGAGATGATGGGGGAAGTCCTTCTGTGTACACCTCTGTCTTATTGTTTGATAAATAAAGCACTAGTGGCTTTATTTATCAAAATATTTATTATTTATCAAAATTTATAAATAATATCAAAATTTATCAAAATAAATAAAACACTGTTTGATAAATAAAGCACTGTTGATAAAGAAAGCATGATATGTGGGGCTGAGAGTCGAAGAGTATTCTGGGAAATTTAGTAGAGAAGCAGTCGCCATGTGATCGCCAGCAAGAGAAGACATATGGCTGTCATCCTCCATAAGATGAGTCCTTATAAAATATATAGACTAGTAGCTATGGTTCATAATTAAGGCTGAGCTAGCATATACGAAATCCTAGTCATAGACCAGCAGAATTTTAAATAATATAAGACGCTGTGTGTTATTTCTCGGTCCTAATGTGGCAGGCCAAACTCAGGCAGCTGGCAGAAAGATTTATCATTACAAGAGGCTTTTGTATTATTCTTTCTTTATTCTTGAAAAATTCATACGTGTAGACAATTAAGAACTATCTTATCTGCCTCCCATTTTCCATCCCCATCCAAAACTCCACAAGCTCCTTCCAATCTTCATGTGTTCTGGGTAATTTTGTTGCTGCTGTAATTTGTTTTGTTAAACTCTTAAGTCCAATAATTGGTCATTATGTGTGTGTGGGCTTGGGACATCTACAAACAGTAAAAAAGAAAAATAATGATAAGATTTAAGAAAGAAATGAAGGAATGTTTGTTCTTCTCATAGCAGTTATTTGCTTCCAATAGTTCCTAAGCAGGATTGGAGCCTGGACATCACCTTCCTGAATCCATTTATTATCAAACGGGAGACTTTCAATCATATTTCTCAGACAGCTGTCGATTTAGTTATTTTTATTATGAAACAGAGTAAATCTATTTAAAATCAATGAGGAAATTATTGGCCAGAGCTTTCCCTCTGCTTAAGTGCCCTAAGCATATCTGCGCCATTGTGAGTACACTGATATTTTGAATGGACTGACAGGAAGTGTCTTACTATGACTTGAAAAGAGTAGAGAAAATCTTCTCTCAGTGCTTAGGTTTCCTCTGTCCTTAGTGTCTACTTGGTGACATTTGTTCTTTTAATATTCATTGATTTTGCTATCGTAACTGGAAGTTACCTTAATAGCTGTCTCAACAAAATTTTAATTTATTTTTATTTTAATATGTGTTTATGTAAGAGTTAAAAGGTAGGGACTGACCATGTGTGGATGAGCCTCACTGCCCATAAAAGCCAGGAGTGGGTCTCTGATCATCTGGAGCTGAAGTCACAGGAGCTTGTGATCTGCTTTAAGTAGGAGCTGAGAAGCAATCTCTGCAAAAAACAGTGCATGCCCACTAAGGAATGAATGACATCATTGAAATGGAAGATGATTCCCTAATTTTGACTGTGTTGCAAGAAAGCAATTAATTTCCCAAAAGTCCCATTATTCGTAGTCAAGTCTTTTATGAACTGTGACCACCTTGGACCTGAGTGTGATTGAGGGAGTAGCTAGCCGGACATCTCTACAGTCAGGCAGTGGGAAACACTGATCTCAAGTCATTGTGAGTCGATGAACTTGTTCTAATTCTCAAATAATGTGTTAAAGATGCTGATTCCGAGCAGGGGACTGATTCTTTTTTCTGGGCTCTGTGGGGTGTGACTGATGACATGCACTCATGTGTACACAGACAGCAATGCTCTGAGTGACAGGTTCTTCCAGGTTCCCAGGTACTGTCGTCTCACAGCCTGGATGTTGTTCTAAGAAATTCTGCCCAGCTTCCATTTTCCTGGAAGATCTCTTCTCACGAGTATCTGAAATTGACTTCTTTTGAGGAAAAGCCATTGGCATTTCAAGATATACATATAGTGAGTTGACTGCGTAATCCTTTTTGGTAAATATCAGTTTTGTTTAATGTTATTTTAATTTTGAATTTAAGATTTTCTTTTAATTGCCAAACATTTGCAAAGCATTTGCTTCTCTTTGCATTCCATTGGTGATGGGTAAAATTTTGGTTAGTCATACTTCCTGCTATATAGCTCAGTGTTCTGAAATTTGAAAACCTTACCAATTTGAAGGAATGTGGAAGACTCTTGCGTTTTAATTCATAATTCCTCCAACTGAATGTAGAAAGTAGCATTATTTCTTATATTTATCAGTCACTTACATACTTCTCAGCATGGTGTTCGCCTAAATCCCCTCTGCACTTTTGTTTAACAGTGTCAGGTATCTGGGATAATAGGTTCACTTATCCCCCCTCCCCCACTGCTACTCACATTTTGTTCACTATTTCACTCACATACAGGGAAATTCACTCTCTTCGTTGCACGATTCCAAGAGGGGTATGGATGGGTTTGGTCAGTTATTCACTGTCAGAATCTACAATCAATCACAGAATAGCTTCAGTGTGTTGGCTGCTATAACCAGGGGAACAGGATTTACATAGCTTAGAAAAACATCACGTACAGTTGAACGCTAGTGAAGAACAAGAGTCCCACATCCAGGGTCTGATGGGAATGACTCCTCTGAACGTCTGACAGAAGTATCTTTCAGTTCAGTCAGGCTGCTGGAGCCTTTGTCTCTTTATGTTGTTTTCCTGAAGATCCAGCTACAGTCCAGTTCACCTTTCCTACTGAAGCTCCAGGTGCATGTGTCTGTGCCCACAGTATTCATTTTCAACCGATAGCTCCCATCGGGCGTGTGAATTTTCCTCAGGGATTTTTGTTGATGACAAAGTAAGTCACAATATTAGTAACAATGCTTGAGGCTTGTTCAGTCATTCCATGCTTCAAGTTTATCCTAAAATATCTAATATAAGATATAGTTTTGTTTTCACAATATGGCAATCGATTGTTTTATGATACCTGAAGCATCTGTGGTCCTTGCTCATGTGTGTCATATGTCGTAACAAGGACACTACCTTTTGAAGGAAGTTTGCACAGCCTCTGTGACCCTCCATTCTTCTGTGCAATGTCTCCCCCAATCCCATCCATTCATATGTTCACAATGGTCATTCCCTCCATTCCTTCAGTCACAAAATACCCCCAAATCCTGAGCTTTTCTCAACATTTACCTCATAAGGCCAGTAATTTTCACCCAAAGCACATTGTAAGTCAAACAGAATAAATGTCTAATTACTACAAGGCAAGTCAACTTTCCACTCTGCAGTGACCCCTGGCTTCCTGAAGCCAGTTTTCATGTGTAGGTCTTCTTTTACAACACTGCCCACTTTCATGCATCATGCATTATGTGAATTAGTCATGTGTCTGCTTACAAATAACATTGACCCCACCACTGTTTAAAGCAAGGAATCTGCTGCGAATCTCACACAATATGCACATAGCCCTAGGACTTAACCACGTGATCAAGAGATCATGGCCCCTAAACATCTGACTAGGCTGTACCTAGGATAAAATTGAGCAGCAACAACTACTTCACTTCTAAGCTCTCAGTACATAGGCTAAGCCTGAAACCATATGAGATTAAATACAGCGAAACTCCTACCACATCTAATTCCTAGAAGTATGTGATCATTACCTACAAGGAAAATTAGTTTTAAAATAGGTTGGGGTTAACAGCCTGTGTGCTTCATTAAGTAAGAAGTATGGGAGGTAAGAGATTTTTGCATGGACCCCTGAGAAGATTTTGTAGTAAGAAATTCCTGACTAGTTTATTTCTGAGGTTTTCTTGCCATTCTTTTTTTTTTTTTAATTTCATTTTACATTACAACCACAGTTTTCCCTCCCACACAAATTCCAAAATATCTGTCCTTCACCCGAGCATGGAGATGAGTTGTTGACTGAGTGTTGACTTCTTGAATCAGGGATCACTTCGTTTTGGGTTCTGAAGATGAGATCCTCAACTTTTCTAGCTTAGAAGGCATGGGAAAGACAGTCAGTTGCAACGTGATTATAGTTACATAGCTGTTCTTTGTACCTGGGAACCTGGAAGAATGTTTTTTTGGTTTAAACAGGAGCAGAGTTTGCTCAGGTGTGAATCATATGGGCAGCTGTTAATTTGGTATAACAGAGCAGAAAGAAACATGCTTAATTTCCTTCCCTCTCTGTACCTTTGTCTTTATCCAAATCCTCAAAATATTTTTAAAGATTGTTTAAATATGTTTTCTTTCTGCTTCAGTTCTCTGGAACCTACCTATTAACCAAATAGTCAGTCTCCAGATCCCTTTTGAAAATTCATCACATTTTCTCTTTTTGACTCTTCAGACTTCACACAATTTTCAGAATTCAAAGATAATTCCCACTTGTAATTTCACGGTTTACAAAATTGAATCTGGACAGCATTTGTTTTTCTTCTTCAATTTTTTTCTATTATTCTCTGTGAAAATCTCACCGAAACACCAAGAAGTGATTATCTTAACAGTTCCTCAGTGTATTGTTTCACCTTTGGCTGCCTTATGTTTCATAATCCCTCCCTTGTCCCTCCTCTTCCTCCTCATCTTCCTCATCCTCTTCTTGCTCCATCTCCCCCTCTCTCCTCTCTTTGCTGTTCTTTATGGTTATGAGAACACTTCTTCTTTTGTCTGGTTTTTATTATTATTATGGATAATACATTAAAGGATGAGCAACAAAACCCATCACCTGCTGTCGTGGGCTCTGGCCATGCTGCAGCTATCCTAGGCACCATCTCTGCCCCACATTAATTTTGTACTTTTCAGACTTGTGTCTTTCACTCTGAGGCCACAGGCATGCAGACGTCATCACAATCTGAGCCAGTGCTACTGTCAGCTCTAAGCACATGGAGTTTCCGAGGCACCCTACTTTCTGGTTTTCTTCTGGGCTGTGTCACTTCCTGGTTTGCAGCCTGCCTCTGTGAAGTGGAGAGGCGTGGCTGAGGGAGTGTAAGAACAAAGTGGGCAGGCAGAAATGAGGAGAAGTGTTTGAGAGTTAGACCCTTCAGCACTGAGAGACTTCAGAAGCCTGCATGCACCTCTCTTTGGTTTAGATGCGCACCATCTTGGTGGCCTTTGGCTCACGACATCTGTTGGCTCTAATTATGACTCTGAGCTAGCAGATGTCTCCCCACAGCCCCATCCATGGTGCTTCTCTTAAAGTTGGCTTCATAGTCTTTTGCTGTTTCTATGACAGACAAGTTCACATTTCACATAATCACCAGTGTCATTCTTGGCTTTGCTTTCTCTCATGTTTTAAATGATAGTATAGAGTTGGTACTGAGTGAAAGCATTTTCTAGTTTTAGACACCTTTTCTTGTTCTCTGGGGCGCTCCACCCTAATCTCACTCCAGTGTTCTGTCTCTGAGGCTCTCCTGGTCCTTTTCCAAAGCCATATATATGGAGGAAACCTATATCCTCACCCTCCAGTGAAGATTTTCCTCGAAGGAAGAAGTCAATTTTCTAGGTTTGTTGCAAGCTTTCTTTGCTCAGTCCAGTTCACAACTTTCATATTTGCTCTTTAGAAATAACAGATAAATGAATTTATACTCTCATCCAGTATGCAATTTGATACAAGCATACATAACTTACATTGGATTCTGTCTAATGTTATTTTATAGTATAATTTATTATAAAATATTCTAATTTATATACAATTCTATGGCATCATAGAATAGTTATAAGTTCAATCATTATTACTATTAATAGAAAATTCAGATCAAACTTCTCTCAGTATAAAGTTTTGCATGTCCTCAGAATATTTTTCTAGTTTCCTTTTGATTAAAATCACTTCTGTGAGTACTGAAATTCTTGAGTTTTTAATGTCAAGGGATTACTGTAAAGGATGGCATTTGCTTCTACAAACACCTGCCCCTGTACCAGAAGCTTTCAGAGTCCACACAGCTTAAAGCATTAGCCCTGCTTCATAAAATGTTCTGCAATGACCCATGGAACTCTTTGTCTGAATCTTAACACACACACACACACAAACACACACACGTATATATGTATAAATATATAAACATATGTTCACTTTATTTATTTTTACTGTGTTTGTAAATCAGAGAAATACACACATACACACTGTAACCTTAGAATTCAGTAATGATCAGAACTGATTAATTAATAAAGACTCAAGAAGTTCACATACTAAACAATGAAGACTTCAATTTACATATAGGTAGGAAATATATTTGTTAGGGCAACAGACAAAAATATATAAAACGTATACATTAAGGAATGAGTTGTTTGAAGAAAAGCAAACATAGAGTCTAAATAGCCAATGGGGAAATTAACAAAAACATTTCCCAACTCTATTGTTCCAGAGCAAGGTGACTCTGAGTTCACATTGTGTGCACTGGTGTCTTTCTTGACTTTTAATCTACTATCCTATCCCCTGGTCTGTGTGTCACAGCTGATACTATCTATCCTGTTCCCTGGTCTGTATGTTACATCTGTAACTATGTTACATGTGCTTCTTACCTTACAGGAATGTCATTGGAAGAAAAATGAGGTTAAAGCAGTGAGATTCTCCCTGCACAGCAAAAGGAATATATTATGCTAATGTATCTTACAGTGAGTGCCCATTAGAAGGACAAGTCTACTTTATCTAAGAATGATGCAGACTAAGGGCTGTGAGATGGTCCTTGATGCTTCACTTAGGCAAGCCTTAAATAAAGTTGTCAAGAATTTTTTTCTTTACATATGAAATATGTTAGAGACTCATAATTTCCTCCTCCCTTTTTGGCATAAAGAGTCTCTAATCTCATTTTCCTCCTTCTGGGTAATGACTTATTGTGTGTTAATACAGAGATTTTCATTTGCTAAGTGTTTTACAAGCATTTATTAGTGAAGCCTACTTCATTATACTCAGCATTTTACTCAATAAATGTCAACAAACCTTATTCATAAGATGGTTGAGGAAGAAAGTTGTTCCTTAGCCTACTTGGCATTGTGCAAAGTCAGTACAAAGTGGTTTAGTTATTTCAGTCCACACAGTGGGAGGCAGAGCTGAAATTAGAACTCAGGCATCCAGCTTTCAACTTCTGCATCGGTGCTCTTAACTTCTGGAGTCCTGAAACCCTGCTGGGGAATTTTTATGCTTTACAACTTCTGCTTTTGTGGTGATATTGAGACATATTCTGGTGGTGGATCAGACACAAATTAAACATCAACCTGATGATTATGCTATTTTGTTGAATAAAATAACTCACAGAGTTCTAGTGTTCCTCAGAACTTTACTTCAAAATTAATGCTATAAATGATTGTAGCAAATATGTGACGAGGAGATTTGAATCTTTTAAAAGTAAAATTTTATAGTGCATATACAAAGCAGAAATGTATTTGCAATTTCAAACTTTGCATCTATTTTAATTTTTTAACGGACCTAAGTCACAAGGCTCAGCATGCTCAATTCTGTAATGTGAAGATGGATTCTTTTGTTATTTTCCTCAAGTATTTAGCTTTGGAATCTTTCTATTCATCAAAGTACATTTAATACCAATCATAACCAGAAGAAAATTTAACATAATAATTAATATTGATAGCATGTGATCTATTTGTGAGACACAAAGACAGAATCCACTTAGAACTGAGTATAATAAGAGGTGACCAGTGCTTAGGTCACATTTGCAAAATGTTATTTTACTTCTTCTAAAACATTGATATTCAAGTCTCATGTTTTGTTCTTTTAGAAAATATGCATGTGAGTGTGTGTGCCTGTGAGTGTGTGTCTGTGTGTGTCCCTGTGAGTGTGTGTGTGAGTTTGTGTGCCTGTGTGAATGCCTGTGACTGTGTCTGTCTCTGAGTGTCTGTGTGTGTGTGAATGTGACTGTCTGTGAGTATGTGTGGTTGTGATTGTGTATCTGTGAGTGTGTGTGAGTGTGTATCTGTGAATATATGTGTCTGTTAGTGTGTGTGTGTGAGTGTGTGTGCCTGTGAGTGTGTGTGTGAGTGTGTGTGCCTGTGTGTATGCCTGTGACTGTGTCTGTCTATGAGTGTGTGTGTGTGTGTGTGTGTGAATGTGATTGTGAGTATGTGTGGTTGTGATTGTGTATCTGTGAGTGTGTGTGAGTGTGTATCTGTGAGTATATATGTCTGTTATTGTGTGTGTCTGTGAGTATATGTGCCTGTGAGTGTGTATCTGTGAGTGTGTGTTCCTGTGACTATGTGGGAACATGAGTGTGTGCTCCTGTTAGTCCATGTGTGTGTGAGCACATGTGCCTGTGAGTTAACACACTAATGAGTGTGTTTACCTGTAGAAGAGGTGGGGGTGGAATCCTAGAGCTGGGGTTGCTGGTCATTTGAGACTCACAGTGTCCTTTGGCCCTTGTTCTGACATCAAGAGAACTTAATGTCCAAGCCAATGCTCCAATCCCCATAATACACTGAAATTACACCAACAAAGGATTCAAAGTGAGAAAGATCTTGGTCTGGAGAGAAGACTAAGCCATTAGAACCTAGACTCACCACCAAAGCACTAAAGAGAGATTCACTACTTACACATCATTGCTCTTGGATATTGGAGGCTTATCCTGCTATCCCCAGCTGCTTTAAAGAAAATATTGTGACCTATGTGGTAAGAAAAGAATCTAGACATGTCAAGTTATGGACTGAAAACTGTAGACATCATTAATAAGGAAAGTCATAAACATACTTCTTTCCACAGCATCTCTTCCGGCTCTCAGGACCGCAAGTGTAGAATCAACCGAGTCAAATTGAGTTCCTAGTGACATTATTTTCTCCCAAGAAGCTCTGCTTCCTGCAATTCCTGTCATCAGAAAAGAGGGGAGGTCATTAACTATCTTAAAAACTCTGCTCCTTCTTCTTTATGTGATAGAACTGCCCTGCTTCTCCTCTGTGAACCAAGGTGGAAGTGTGAAGATGAGAAACATGGAGGAAGTAATCTCACTAATTCATACCCTCATACCTACCAAGAGCATGGGAGTCTGAGACTGGATCAAACCAGTTCTAGAAGGTCATATAAGGCACATCTAATTTAATTAGGAGAAGTCTATCAAAAATTCTTATTTTTTATTGGTTTATGTGTGTATGTGTATGTATATGTATATGTGCATATGTGTACAAGTAGAATATTTGGTTCTTGGGGATCTCTCACTGCATCTGAAGCCAGGCTGCTGCAGTAAGATTTGAGGGCCCTGTTGGCAGTGCCTTCTAATACCAGTTACATACACTGGCCTAGCAGAATGCTGAGGCTTTAAGCTCATCTTGTCCTGTTTGCAAAGCAAGTGGTCTTTCACACTGAGTAATCTCTTTAGAACTTTCATTTTCAATTCTTGATGAAAAACAATTTCATCAGAGATCCATCTCACTTTTTTTCCCTCAGAAAACTTTTAATGGCCATAAGAAAAAAAAAAAACATTTTATAACCCTATTTTAAAAAAAAAAACTATTCATGATATAAAAAATTTTAAGAATGTCAATTGTTTAAAACTAAATGTTTTGAAACCTAGCAAGAGTTTTGGAAAGATGACTCTGTGGGTAAAGAGATTAACCTACATGCATGAAATGCTGAGGTTAACGTATTGGCCTGAAGAACTAAGGGAGAGGGTGTAGTTGTCTGGCTATAATCCTGTTGCCTGGGAGGGAGAGACAGGATACCTTAGACAAGATAACTACCCAGATTAACAGAATCATCAAGCTCTGTATTCAAGTGAAATATGTTGCCAACATATATGAAGTGGAGATCAAGAAAAACACCTAGTTTGAGCCTCTGAAAACGTCTTGCATCATGATACAGGTGTACACAGCCCCATAAGCAGAGCTGTGCCCACAGCATGCAAACATACAGACATCACACATGCACATAGCTTACAAACCATAGCCAGGTTTGTAAATCTTATCTTTCCTAGGCTTGAATTTTCTCTAGTATCTAATAGGTATTCTCTGCCAGTCTCTGCATCATCAGCATAGCTGTCATGATGTCACTATGTTTTTATCCACTTAATATTTTGACTATATTCACTATATTCTGCACAATAGATATGCATCTTCGTACTTCTGAATGGCTTTAGCTGTACTTAACTTTCTAAATTTGAGTCTACTACAATGTCTAGCTTCAAATAATTTAATTGAGTTATCAAAATATTCCCAAACACATTCCTCAATGTGTAATGTCTATTTTACTTGGTCTGAACATTCACTGGACAAGATTGTTACTGAAGAAAATAATTTTTGTTGCTGTTGTTTTTCAAATTTGGGTTTAAAAAAACTTGCTTGGTGTTGAAATCAACTGAGCTCTGCTTCCTGCAGACATTTCCTTTTATTTCATTGCCATCAGGTTTCATGTACAGCCATATTGGACTATGTTGTCCAAAATAATTTGTTTACCTTCCATGAGTTCAATACATGGGTTTAGTTGAGGGTGTTATCCTGATTACTCTATGGAACTTCACATGTAGAAAGTGTGGCATTGCTGAGATCGATGCTCTACTAAGACATGTGTGAGAACAAGAAAGTTCTCCATAATACATCTTTGAGTTCATCAGTTAGTTGTGGAATCTATCGTTTTTCTTTAATGATCCATAGGATGAGGTGGGTGCTTTAGCTACATTTCCTCACATTCCTTTCTGGTTTTGAATCTGTGGCTGTCTGTTAGTAGGATTTTAATAAATATTAATTGAGTAAATGATTACATCTTCCTTTTGATATATTCTTCATGTATTTTTTAAAAAAACAAATTCTGAAACCAAAATGGTTTCTAATATGAAGTTTAATTTTTCTTATACATAAAACATTCTGTTTGGGTATTGTATTAATTTATTTAAAAATGTATATTTAAGACTGATTTCTGAAAAATGTTGCAAATTCCTGTACTTTCAAAACAATGAAATACCAGGTATATCCCCTTGCTTGTCTTTAATGATTACTCCTACTATTTGAGATTGGAGCCTCACCAGCTGCAAAGCTTCAGTTCCCATCTAATCTACAACTTCCCTTGTGAGTTGACTTTTCCAACTGCCTGATTTTAATCTCATTTGCAGAAGCTGTTATATGTTTTCCTATTTTCTCAGTGGTTGATTCCGGGGTTTGTGATCTGCATCTTCCATTCTCATCCAAATGTTCCTCTCTTTCTAATGCATTCTTGGAGACTACGCTTTATCATCTGATAAAGAAGTCCACTAATGCATGGTTCCTGCTTGCCTATAAAAGAAGCTTGGCTCCGTTTCATGCCCAAAGTTCAAGTGAAAACGGATGAAAGATTTGTTAGTTGAGGGATTGATTGGGGGGGGGCGGAGGGGCTGATCCCTCAACATTAATTTGATCGAGAGACTTTGGTTTAACTAAAGTGACTGAAGCAAGCAGGTGATTTTTAATATTAAATTAAAATTCAGTGTGTTAAATAGATGAGGGTTAAATGTCTATTCAAGTTTCAGACGTGTGGTCCTAGGAAGGCAACATGGGAGTGCCATGGCCTTAGAGGTGTGGGAAGAAAAATGTCAGTGCTTGAAAATTAATACTTCTTAATATGTTAAGATTTATAGTTAATAGCTTGTAATTAACATTATCAAATAGTTCATTGGAGACAAAAATTCCAGCTAGCCCGGGAGATCTGGAAAAGGGAGAACCAGTATATTACTAGTAAAATGCATAAAAAACAACTGAGAAAACTACCCAGAACCAAGAGCACAGCATGTTCTCTGAACATGAAGCCCTCAAGCTCTATCTCCAAACATCAATGTCATTGACAATGTTGCGTGTAAATTCACTCATGTTATCTTCACCTTTAATATACACCCTGCAATTTAAAATAATGGAGTGTTAATATTTTATTCACAAGTTGGCTCTATTCCTTTACTCATTGTTTTCCTTCCCCTTATGTTTGGAAGAAATCACAGAATACAAATTAAGATGGCCCCGAGAAAAGGTAACGATATGACAGGACGGGAAAGTTTCTTGAAAATGATCCAGAAATGCAGCCACACTGTGACCCCTTAAAATAAAATTTATGGAATTATCAAATATGTATTTTACCGCAAGGTAAAGCAGTCTGCACTGATGGCGTCTATACACATTCCTCTACTCTGTGTAAATTGTGTATTTAAGTGCAGCATCCTCTGCATATATAAACATACCTACAAGGTTTTCCTGACGCCCGCAGCCATTCACAGGAGCACTAAATCACAGAATAAAGCATGAAAGCATTCATGAGCCTGCACGTATCTCTGCTCAGATATGTACCCCCTCACACAGAAAAACCTTAGCCTCATTTTCAGTTGTAGTGTTCTGTTTCTGTGTACTGAATTAGCATATGTTTATTGGTATTAAACAATGCACTTTTATTGCCTCAGAGCTTCAATAGGTTGACCCAACAGGTACACCATGCTGCAGTGTCACCTGAGACTACTTCCTGCTTCCTGTGATGGTAGCACTGCAGGGACCCTCCACCCCCCTGCAGAGTGTCTGGGTTGTCTTTTGATGACAACTCTGTTAGAATTCTGTTATGTTCCCTATAGTGGGAAATTACTAATACGGAACCAGGTAGAAATACAAGGGTATTTAGTAGGGGAAAGCCTTACTTACAGAGCAACCAAGCCAGCCGGTGTGGCAGCAGTCTGTCAAGCAAGTACCAAAGTGAAACCGAAAGAGAAACACAGTCTCCTGAAAGTCTCACTCTAAGTCACCCTGACTATGCCCTCGGAAAGCGGAAAGCGTGGTCAGGCACACCTGTAGCCAGCCCCTAAGTAGGCGTGGCTACAGCTTCCCCTACAGTTCCCCACCTGACACATGAAGTATCTTCATTGTATCATCAGAATACAGAAACTCTTTTTACTTACATATATTCCTCTGTGTGTGTGTGTGTGTGTGTGTGTGTGTGTGTGTGTGTGTGTGTGTGTGTATGTTTTTCTGCATGTGTGCATGTGTGTAACACAGTGTAAATGTGGAGGTCAGAGGACAGCTTGTGGAAGTTTTTTCTCTTTTTCACCATGTAGGACGAAAGGCATAAACTCAGATCATGCATCTGGGCAGCGAGCTCTTTCACCTACTGAGCTTACTCATAGGTTCTGCCTTGATTTTTAAAACATGCACTCATTAGCAACATCAGTAAACTCTTCTGTGGGATTTTGTATGGTGATGACTTGTTCATTTTCCCCAATTCTTTTTAAAATGGCATAAATGAGTCATAATTCATTTGTTAAATGAAAATGTGTGTGTGTGTCTGCCTCCCTTCCCTGACTCCCCTCCCTTCACTTCCTTTGTCTTCTTTCTGGGGCTCACATATTTGTACTGTTATGAGTTTTTGTGAGCACTGAAGAGTGCCCTGTCTTCATACTTTCTCCAATGTTTTCCATGATTGTTTGGGGTTGTTCTTCTGAATATATGTTTCTCTTATTGGTTGATGAATAAAACACTGATTTCCAGTAGCCAGGCAGGAAGATAGGTGAGCCTCCCAGATGAGGAGAATTCTAGAGAGTGAAGAGACAGAAGCCACCAGGGAGATGCCATGTAGTATCCAAAAGGAGTAACATGCTGGAGCATTATGAGTAAGTCACAGCTTTGTGATAATACATAATTTAATAGAAATTGGTTAATAATTAAGAGAGAGAGGCAATAAGAAGCCTGAGCCATCAGCTGAACAGATATAAGACTCTGTATTTATTTGGAGCTAAATGGCAGTGGGACCAGGAGGGAAGAAACTCCATCCACATGTGTCTTCATTTAAGATTCCTAAAGCGGTCACTTCCATGTCACCAACAGAGAAAAAATAAAATGAAGATAAATGAGTAAGAACTCAAAATTTTACAAATGTGGTACATTGTCAAGACATTGAATGAGTAAGAAAACACAAAAAATGGATTCAAAGAGATTTATACACAATGTCATCATAGAAACATTATAAAAGACAAAAGAAAAAGAAAAGAGCTTGGGAATTACAGAAAATAATCATATATTTGTCATGTAAAAGAAAGACTAGCTAAGATTAACAGCTAAGAGTTTGCCAGGGATAACAAGAGGCAAAAGCATCAAATTATTCATTTAAAGAGATGATAGGGAAAAAACCAACAGAATCCTTGTTGAAAATTATAGGTGAAAAATAAAAGAAAATAAGTACTTTCATAGTTAAATAAAATGAAAGTATAAGTATAGTAAAACACAAAAGGCAAGAATATGGTCATAAACTGAAAGGTTAAGAAAACTGGATTATGGATGCCGATCTAACACTGCTAATATCAGACCACGGGGATTCCCAGTAAAAAGTATTTCTAGAGATTATGAAGTTCAGTAAACAGAGTACATTGGCAGTGTATTTCCACATGCACTAAAGACAGAACTCCAAATGATCCTGTGATGGCTTGAAAGAAAAGGGCCCAAAAGAGAATGACACTGTTAAGAGGTGTGGAATGGGTGTGGCCTTGTTGGAGGAAGTGTGTTACTGTAGGGACAGACTTTGAGGACTCACATATGCTCAAGCCACATCCAGTGACTCGGGTCACTTCCTGTTGCCTGCAAGATGAAGAACACTCAGCTCTTTCTCTAGCATCCTGTCTGCCTGCATAATGTCCTGTCCTGCCACGATGATATTGGACTGAACCTCTGAAATGGTAAGCCACCCAGTTAAATATTTTCCTTTATAAGAGTCTCTACACAGCACTAGAAATCCTAGCTAAAACAGATACCAAATAAAAACTGACACCATCAAAGAATCTGGAAATCAAAATAATTGTGGAAGATGAGTATCATAATCTCCAGAGTGAACAGAATCCCTGGAAGATTCTCATCCAGGCTAGGAAAACCCTGACCTGCTCTATGATCCAGAAGGTTCCCCTATGTACCTGGACAGAATATTAATGACAGATATGCGCTTTTGCTCAGCTGAGGTAAACATAAGCTTCATCAACCCTGTGTTTAGAAAATGAAAAAAAATAAGTGAACCTTCAAGATTTAATAAACTTTTTAATATCACAATAAAGTGGATAATAACAAAACTCTAAGGAAAAATGCACTTGAATATGACCCTGAAATCAAAAGTAATTCATTAGTAGAATAAAAAATGACTGAAAGTAAAGTTAGGCACATCTCACTCAGGAGTCCGGAAATGCAAGCAGACCCTGCTGAGAAGAAAACAATGCTTTGTAGTCAGAGATCCAACCTTATCTGTGTCACTGACCACGCCCATTAGGGTGTGGTCACATGTGAGTCCGAGACCTTATGGTATTTGGTCTGGGGTCTGGGACAGACTCCCTCTCTCTTGATTCTGGTGGGGTCTCAGAGATCAGCCTGGGTGTGGATCCTTGGAGGTCAACTTCCAGGTCATCGATTTCTTATGTAAGAGACCCCGAATAAAATTAACTTATATTTAGCCAAGTGTGTATATCTTCGTCTGTGATTCTACAATGTTTTGAGACTCGGTGCTTCAGAAGGTGAAGAGTTCACAGGGATGGCCTGGGATAGTCAGACTTAAGCAAAGATGCAAAGAAGAATCAATAAACAGAGGGGAGCAGAGCAGTACAACACGAAAAAATCAGGAATCATAACTTTCAACATTTACTTTTATTTAAACCTGGAAAAAATACACTTTAAGGACTGCTTATGTGAGACATGGAAACTGCCTTTCTGTCTTTCAGATAGAGTATTCAGGGAAACAGATCATCTAAAAACCATTAAAATTGCCAATTGGTTAATATTTTTTGCCAATAGTCCTTAAAATGAATTCAAGGGTGAGATTTTTGAAAAATAAATGTTAACAAAATACATAATGCAGAGACGTACAACCACGTTTCCAGATAGCCAGCAGTAAACATAGGAGCTAGTATGAGAAAATAGAAAATTGGAGTACAGTTACAGTAATTAAATCATTGATTATTATTAGATCCTCAGAAATAGAAATATGACCATATATTATTGTAAGTGAATTCTATGAAGCAACAAATGTTGGTGTCAGAAGTGGGATGACTCCATGCCCCAAGGTTCCCAAAAAAAAGAGTAAACCCTGCCGCCACAGCCTGCCCTGTTGGGCCGCTGAGAGTTATCAGAGCAGCTTCCATATGCTCACACCATCCAGGCGCTTTTGGAGTTTAGACTCGACATTCCCAAGATGATAAAGTCAGATCCAGATGAAGAAAAACCTCTAAAGGTTTACACTGCGTTTAAAATATATGTACGCTTGTGAGAGAAGGAAGCAGAGGCAGGTGAATTTCCACAGAGAAACCCTGTCTCAGGGGAAAAAAGAAACAAAAGAAAGAAAAAATAAAGAAATAAAAAAGCCTCATAAAGATGGAAAATACACAGAGAATCTGGATACTATATGCCATATTGTTGTCTTTAAATTGTTTGATTGCCGAGGAATGATTTACCGCTGCTAAACTACATTTGATTATAAATGCTGCTAAATTAATCCAACTAATACATTTTAAAAATGCTTTAATGTCAAAATTTAAGTTTAAGGACAAGCTACTTAGAAATAAAGGTTTTTGCTTGTATTTCCAAAGAAAATTAAAAGCTGTTGATTCCTTCCAGACTAATATGGTTTGATCAAGCAAGACCCCCTGAAGCTGAGATGATACAGCCTTACAGACTACAAAAACAAGGACTTGGTCAGGTTTCTATGTTTTATCATGATCCCCATGGTATATAAACATCGCCCTCAATCAGCAGGAAGCAGTTTAGAAAGAACAATGCCCATATTCCCAAATATTGTTTATAAATGTTTGTTTTCATTTAAATGGGGTTGGTTATAAATGATAATGAGCATAGTCAATCTCTTTTTAAAGAAAAAAGGGGAAATAGGATATAGGAATGAATACTTAACATTGGTATAGATTTTCATTTATTGATACAGCTTTAAGGCCAATTTTATGATATGTGTATGTCTCCTCTTGTTTAGGTATTGTGTTTATACAGATCTTTGACCTATAATAGTCAGAACTTATAATTAGGTTAGTTAGGTTTTCTAGATTTACAGAGATGTATTTGAGATGGATAGGAATTCTTCAAACCTTTCAAAGACCTACAGAAATATGGCATTTAATGATGTAGGGTTTTTCTTGGCAGTGAGACACAACTGCTCTTGGCACACCAATTATGTCAAAAAGAAGGATGGGCATCAAAGAAACTCATTATGGAGTTTGCTTTCAATATGGCAAAATTAGCCATTTGGGCAAGAAACTGTTCTTGCCTGGACTGTCTGTTGCTGTATAAACTGGACATGCAGACCCACAAGAAAGTGACTGCTGAACTTACAAAACAAGACAGTACTCAAGGGTTCCTGTTGAAATGGAGAAGTGTGCTAGACACACTATGGCCTATAGGCTAAAGATGGATGCCCCAACATTACAGAGGAACTTTAGGTGACTGTCCAGGTATCGAGATGTCTCTGTCAATTTTAGAGTTTATATATTATCTTCTATGGTCTTTGATAGAGTTAAATACAGATAGTTATGGTTATATTTCTCTTCAGTTATTATAAAAGATAAGTTATCCTTCTTTTATTTAGACAGAAAAGAGGAGATGATGGGGAATGTACTATGTATGTTTATCATATTGATTGTTAAATAAAATACTGCTTGGCCAATGAGACAGGAAGTTAGACAGGACTAGGAGTCAAAGAGGATTCTGGGAA